TTCGAAGGATTCAGTCACCACATGAGTCCTTAATTTGGTGTGTAACCCTGAAGGTATTGAAAGTATATATACCTGAACAAACTGCATTATTAATTAAAAGGTTTCATTTTACGATTTATCTACACAAACAATGAAAACCAAAAGTACGTAAATGCAGCCAAAGTGATCGTTGTATATAGGTACATAATTGTTGGAGTTGTGGTGTGAAAGCTGCACCAAGAGCAGCAAATGAAAAGAAAGCTGCACCAAGTGCAGCAAATGAAAAGAAAGCTGCATAAAATGGCAGCAAAATGAAATGAAGGGAGAGCTGCACCAAGAGCAGCAGCAAAGTGCAGCAAACGAAGCTGCAAATGCTGATGAAATGAGGCCAAAATGAAATGCAAATGCAAATCCAAATGAAAGGCTGCAAAGTAGCAGCAAAGCACAGCACATGGAGCCGCACAAATGGCAGCAAATCTTTGAAAGTAATCTTGCATTAAATGTTTGGTAGATTTTCTTGTATTAGGTAAAAATTAGTTGAGAAAATTAAAATTGATGTATTAAGAGAGTTCTGCTATATAATGGCCGAAGATGAATGAAAAAAATGGGTTCCAGCAAATCTTTGAAAGTAATCTTGCGTTAAATGTTTGATAGATTTTCTTATATTAGGTAAAAATTAGTTGAGAAAATTAAAGTTGATGTATTAAGAAAGTTCTGCTATGAAAAAAATGGGTTTGACCTCACCAAATGAGGTAACTCCAAGGTGTCTCTCTCCTTCTCCTCCAAGTCCTCTCAAAAGTCCTTTCTTACCTCCGAAAAATCTAATAATAATTAAATGCAAATATTAAATTACCGGATTAATTGTTTGTCCAAGTGAATTCATACCTTTTATGAATTTCTGTTGTCATTGTCTGCAACAACTTCAGAACACAAGATATCTTCCAAACAGGTAAGTCCTAAAAGAAAAATACAACAACTTTTTCTTTAAGTAAACTTTAATTTTATCAGGTCAGACAGATCCACTGGAGAAAAAAGGACTCCATTTTCAGATTCAAATGGATGAAAAAATTAAATAAATAGTGAACAGATTTTTTTTTTTTTTTTTTTTTGGGGCAATCGGAAAATGTTAAGGACTCAACAATGAACTCTTAGTGGCATTTGATAGGATCATACCATTGCAAGGTAAGACAAAAAGGAACATCTTGGCAATTGGCATATCCTGCAGGCACATATGTTTGAAGACATTATCTTGGCACGTTTTTTCTGTTTAATTAGTTGCATATCCCAAATCAGAAGTACATATAACGAAAAGAAAATTTTCGATTGTTATTAATATGTTTTATTAAAATTTCATATCAAATTAATATCTAAAAAAGTTAAAAAATAAAATTAAAACAATTAAACTTGAATAGATAAAGTACATAAATAATGAGAAAAGTAATACAGGTCTAATTAATCGGCTAGAAGCTTCGTGGTTGGTCTGAAGAAACTTCTCTCCTGCTTCTTCACTAAGAAGAAAATTCTTATCCGAGTCGAGGAACACCAATATGCTTCATACAAATATAATAATAGTATGCTCTTTCTCAAGATATCTGTATTCTCAACCAAAAGGCATATATCTCCCCAACCCAATGGCTGAATCAAGTACTTCCTCTTTCCCACCACCGGCAAAAAATGCTCCGATCATTAGCCCTAGCTTTTGTGCTGCTTATCCCGTCGATCTTTGGATCGTTAGGAAGGTCGAGAATATGCAACACGGTGACTTTGCTATCACGGACATAAGTGGAAATCTCGTATTCAAACTGAAAGACTCCAACTCCCTCTATTGTACTCAGGTCATGCTGGATGCTGCTGAAAATCCCATTATTACATTGGAACCCAAGGTTCGCCCATTCGTTACATCACAATATTTTTTAATTAGTGTGAACATTGTCTGATTTTTCCCCCCTTCTGTACTTTCTTTCTTTTGCAGCAGCAAACCACCCATAATAGATGGCAAGTTTTCAAGGGAGAAAGCACAGATTCTAGTGATCTCTTATTCATAGCTAAACGATCTTCAACTGCAATGTTCCAATCGAAAACAAAACTAGATGTTTTCTTAGCAAATAACAAAGAGCAGAAGGTCTGTGATTTCAAGGTCGAAGGAAGTTGGTCGGATACACCCTATGTCTTTTATATGGGAGAGTCTTCCTCTGTTGTTGCTCAAGTGAGAAAAATATTTATGCCCTTTTTTTTTTTTTTTGGGGCACAAAATCTTTATGGGTTTTAACCCTAACAATTAGAACATTTTTTATTTTTGTTTTTCGCATTCTTAAAAAGAATATTAGAGCTAAACTATCTTAATTTTAGAAAAATCCCGCATAAAAAATATATGAAAAGAACATATTATTTAAATATAAAAAGAGTTACTTTCCTTATTATTATTAATTAATTTTAAGTAATTAAACACCATCTTATGTGTTGAATGTTACAAGTAAAATTTTCACTTCTTAGAGAAAATTAACATGTTTGCAGATGCACAAGAAGACCAAAGTCGAGGGCGTGTTGGAAGGAAAGAAGAAGATGATGGTGACAGTCTTCCCAAACCAGGATTATGGATTCATAGTAGCTCTTATCATCATTCTCACCGCAATCAACGAGTGGTAGCGGTGATGATGGTGCCTATCAAAAACTGGTGGTGGCAGCAGTGGCAGCAGTTGTTGATTGAGGTGTTAATTTTATTATCAAAATTTAGAAATAAAGGATCTGGAATGTGCAAATGATTTTTTGTGATGTATTTTTTGTCATTTTATTTTATAGGATTATTATGTGATTTTCGATGTTTTTTAGAAAAATATGATTGTAATTATTTTTTTATGGATTTTATTTATTTTAAAGACTTTTTAAGGTTTCTATTTTATTTAATATATTAGTGAATAAACTACAATATTATAGTTACAATACCATATGAGATTATAAATTCGTAATTACAATATGAGATTATAAATTCGTAATTACAATATGATATTAAATGAATAAGACATAATATTTAAGAATAGATGAATATAATATCATGAGTGAATCTCATAATAAAAAAAAATCAATTATATAACGACACATCATATTATAAATTTAAAATATCATATGACATTACAATTATAGTATTTTTGGGTGACTGAATGGGTAAATAAATCAAATCAGGGCAGCAACCTTAACTGATTTGCTAACCAAGGGCAACAACTTCAATTGCAACAAATTAAGGGCACAAAACCTTCGCATTTTTCCTATATGGTTCAAATTTTGACCTTAAAGTTAAATGAAATTTTAAATAAAATTGAAAAAACAAATTGCCGTGCTGGAAATTTTTGGCGTTGATGTTTGCCTCTTTTCCTTCTTTGATGTGAAAATGAAGAAATATATATATATACAAAGGCGTTTGAACAACTAAAGGAATTAAAATAGTAAGCTCCCAAGCAGTGGTTTAAAGCTAAAATGGATAGGATGCTATCAATGGCTGAGTCAAGATTTAATATAGGAGAGGTCAAATTTTTTTATAGACACTCAAATCAAACTTTTAAATCCCATACTAATGTGTACTTTGAGGGCTTAATTCCTCAAGCTTAAGTTTATAAGAAATAACCTTTAAAACTTACAAGTGGAGGGGCATATTTGGAGTTTTTGCCTAAAAAAATCCTCTCTAAGTAGTTTCATGAGCATCTATAATGTTGCTCGGAAAAAGAAGCGCAAAATAACATTATTAATGGACAAAGAACCTAGAAGGGATTGAGGAAAATCATTCACGATTGTTCGGTAAATAAAATGTCAAAAATAATAATAAAATAATTAAAACACACTTATAAATTAATATATAAAAATTTAATAAAAAGTATTTAAACAATTCATAAACAGTTCTCGTATTTGTCATTATTAATAAACAAAGAGACTAGAATATGACAAATAATAATAATAATAAGAAAAAGAATTTAAGGATGAAAATGGTGAAATAAAAATTAAAGGACTAAATCCATTTTTTTCCTTTTAAAATTTTAAGGGAGCCAAGCCCACTGTGAATTACATCAGTTACATAAAAATCGCTTCATGTCTATAAAAGAAAGGTTAAAATCCCTTTTTGGTCCCTGAATTATTGTATGGACCCCCGATTTGGTCCCTAAACTAAAAAAATCTCTGATTTGGTCCTTACTGTTTACCATTTTTACCCCGATTTGGTCCTTTCATTAAAAATTGTGTGACGTGGCCTGTTACTTAACGGTTACCAGATGACATGTCATATAGTAATCCACGTGAAAGATAATATAATCAAAAAGTGATGATGTGAAAAAAAATAATATAAAAAAATATTATGAAAAATAAAACTTAAAATTTTTTTTCTTTTTTCTTTTTTTCTTTTTTTTTTCTCCTTCCCCTTTCCCTTTCTCTTTCTCCTTCCCCTTTCTCTTCTCTTTCCCCTCGAAACCCAGCAGGCCTGGGTTCCTTCGAACCCACCCAGGCGTTGGGTTCGCCTGGGTTCGTCAAACCCAAGGCTGGGTTCGCTGAACCCAGGTGATCTGGGTCTGTCAAACCCAGGCCGAACCCATGCGTTGGGTTCAACGAACCCAGCTAGGTTTGAAGGAACCCATCGCTTGGGTTCGACGATCCCAAGCTCTGGGTTCCTTCAAACCCAGTGCTGGGTTCGATCGAACCCAGGTGCTGGGTTTCTTCTCGAATCCAGGCACTGGGTTCCTTCAAGAACCCAAGAGCTGGGTTCGTTCAAATCCAGGGGCAAAAAAGTCTCTTTTTTTTTGTGGGTTTGGTTGTTTGAAAGGGCACTTGTTGGGTTCGATATTGAATTGATTGTTTGATTGAATTGATTGTGTGAATGAAGGAAGATTCGAGAAAGAAGATGCTAGAGGAAAAAGATGATGCAAAATTGTAATTTGGTGGGCCCCACTTTTGTTTTTGCGTTGGGTATGACCATGTCATCATTTATCCGGTTGTACAACTGACGTGGCTTAAATTTTTGATATATCTGTGAGTTAACGGATGATTTTTAACAGAAGGACCAAGTTGGGGTAAAATGGGTAAACAGTAGGGATCAAGTCAGGGATTTTTTTTAGTTCAAGGACTAAATCGGAGGTCCGTACAATAGTTCGGGGACCAAAAAGGAGTTTTAACCTAAAAGAAATTCTGACCTCATAAGAGCATAACCCAGAAGTACCTATAAGTCCACATACTTTCTAGAACCTCATAGAAGAAAAATTCCAACCTCATGCATAAAACTGGGGTTGTTCACATCAATTCTCGAAGGACACGCGTGGCTGGTCCCAGCCTTCAAATTTTGATTTATTCAGCTGAAAATTAGTCAGGAGGAAAAGTCACCAAATAAACTCCATCATCAGATCAGACTATTTAAGTTCACTGTAGTGTAGAAACTTCTCTCCTGCTTCTTCATTAAGAAGAAAATTCTCATCGGTGTCCAACCACGTATACGCCATGCTTAATATATATATATATATTAAAAAAGTAGGTATGTATTATAAAAAATTATAAAAAAAATACCTTAAAATTATATCATTTTAATAAATTTTTATATGTATGTATATATATATATAAAAGAATTAAATTG